CTTGTATTTTTACTAAGTATTTCACTGGAATTATTCCTGAGGAACCTTGGCATCTGGAGACCTCTTGCCAAGTTCTGCTATTCTTTTACCTGGTTTCAACTCCATGGTTTTAAAACTTTGGGATCGTTTCCCTCTTAAGGTCATAAGGGTACTTTAAAGATCATGCTCACTAACAGTGCTTTTGTTTACATTGCAAAGTAGGCTGGGAGTACACAAACTTAATTCTTTTTGGATGAAACTACACTAGAAAGCTCAGAGTGTACCCAATGTGCTCCAACAACGAAGAGGCACTCAGTCTGGAGGGCCAGAAAGGAGCCAGGCTGAAGGAAACTCAGAAACAGACTGGGGACATCAAGTCCTCAGCACCAACTACCTCGCCCTACAAAAGCAGTTTAATGGGACTGCTCTCCTTACTGGGGAGCCTCTATCGCCAAGCATCCACTGCAATCATTTATCATGGTTTCTTCATTGAGCCTCAAGAGGCTTGGGTTTCTTTAATATTCATTAGCATTAGCAAAAGACTACTTCAGCCCAAACTTCTTCCACACATCCCAATTGCCTTGATTTCTTCCATCCTTTCTTTACTGTCTTTTCTTCCCTTTACTGAGAACTGTTAGACAACTCTTCAACAAACTAAATTGGGTCCAATCCTGCTAGGCCTACAATCTACTTCCTGATCTCCAAAGCCAAAATTGTTTTTAAAAAACTGCCTAACATGAAGTTTCTAAATTTACACTTCTTTTACTAAACAAGTTAACCGGATCTTCAAAGGTGCCCCCTGAATCACAAAGAAATTACTTAGACTCTCTTGTGAGTTGGTGCCCAAGTAATATTATTATAATACAATTAAATTCATCTTCTGATAAAGAATTTGTAAAACGTAAGAACAGTTAGTGGTACACAAGAGACATTAACAGCCTAGTTTTCTTTTTAAGAATTGATTTTGAAAAAGGGTAGTGGGAGTGGGTTTCGTGCTATGCTTAGAAAAGTGGAAAAAAATAAACATGGCTGATTCACATGGTGAGATGCTGACATCCATTGAAAGAGAACAGTACTTTATCACATACGCACTGTACTTTTGAGAACAAGAACTTCATATGGCTAGAAATATTCAGCCAATTAAGTAGCAATCCAACTGACTGAACACTGGTAAATTAATTATAAAGTACTGGTTCACACCAACACAGATGCTTTCATGACGTAACTTACTGTGACAGGAGCTACAGAGCCTCAGAACTGAGGTATGGTTACAGAATATTACTAAAAACACTTGGCATTTGTTGTACAGCACTATAAGTCCTGTATTCTGATTAGTTAGTACACATAATATTACTTTTGCATAGTAACAATGTATTTTACAATTTAAGCAATCAAGTATGGGCTGTGCAGTAATAAAAAAAGATCAGGTCATATCAAGTTAACCTTTCAGAAAGGTCAGGAAAGTTTGCTTTGAAAGAGGAGAGTTGAAGCCTTTTCTCAGTAGTCCACTTTTTTGCTTTTTTATTCCAGTCTCTGTTTCCTTCTCTCACTACCTATTTTGTTTCTCAAAAGAAACAACAGGGAAGGGAGCTGCAGAGCTTCACTACTAGAGTACTCAGCAAAAGTTAAAAGGAGCAGACCAGAAAGTTTAGGAGCAAGATTTGTAAGGATTTCTGTGAAACAGAAATAAGGCAGGCCAGAAAGAATTAAAGAAACAGATGACAGAAATTAATCATAAGGAGAGCGATTTCCCAAACAAGTAAAAAAGTAAAACTTAACCCCCCCCCCAAAACAAACAAACCAACCCAAACTTTTAAGACTAAACTATATTTCTTGGCACACAAAGCATTTGCTTTTAAGGACAAGTATTTTGAATCAACGTTGATTTTATTTCTTATTACTGACAAAACATTATTTCCTAGTTAGAGCTTCCAAGGGATGAGCTGCATTCTGAGACAGAGGGTTGCACAGCTGTTTTAAGGAAGCACTGAAATGCAACATTACCATTCCACATATTACCACATCAGAATGCCTTCCTGTAGACAACTAAGCAGCACAGCTGAGCTGTTATGTCTAGCCTTTCACAGCAGCTTATCTTTCTTATTAGTAAATAAAAACCACCAAGCATATTATAGTTAGAGGGCTGAGATTAAAAGAAGGATCCATTACATTTACATCCTAACACTTAGAACTGCACTTGCTTAACAGAAAATTGCCCAGGAGTCTTCAGGCCATGCATACTCTCAGCATACCTGCAAGTAGCTACAAGTTAAAGACAAAGTTCCCATGGACTTGTGTCCCGAGTACCAGAGAGGCAAGGCTAGAAAGGATTGGGATTCACACATTTACCCGATAGCCCCCACTTGTAAAGAAGAGATGTAAAAGGCAGTACTTTGTATGTGAAAATGATTGCCTCATATTTCAGCTGAAAATGCTACAGTCTTACGCATTACTAGGCATGCTTTAAGGAAATTCATAAATACATAGGAGGGCAGTGTGCCTAGTGCACAGAAGCAACAGCACATAACATTGTGTGGGGTGTCAAGACCAAACTCTCCCAGAGTCTCTTTCAGTCACTCTAAGTTCCCACTTAACACAATCACCTATAGTAACATGGAGGGAAAAAAAGGAATATTCTGCAAGTGACATTTAAACCTCCAAAGGAACTTGTCTGCAATGAACTCATACATGCAAACTGTCTTGGAGCATCCAGGTAGAATTGATTACTCTAATTATTTTAACATCCTAAATGTAATGGGAGAACAGCATTGAAGACCAACAGCCACTGGGCCCTCAGAAGACAACTCCAAAGAAGCCTTTTTGCGCAGATGCATGAGGCTTTTGTGCAACGTATAATCCTTGTACCAAACTCAACTTTATCAGAGCAGCTCAAGGCTGTAGCAACCGTGCATGTTATGGACCTATGCCTGCGCACTGTGGGGGAGTGGAGGGGTGAACACACAGACATCCCTCCAGCGGTTTTATGTTCACAGAACAATCACAAATGTTCTGGAAGTGAGACAAGTAATGGCTGAAGCAATAATGGGGGGAAAAAATAATAAATCAAATGTTTCACTAACAGGACTGTACCCATTCCCACTCCTTCCAACAGGTCTCCATCCAGCCTGGTGTCCTGGTAGGAAAGGAACAGAAAGAGCTGCTGAAGAAAAATACAAAACCAAAAAAAACCCCACGAGCAGGAACAATAATCAACAGAAATACCTAACTGCTGTTTTCAAAAAGGGCTTACTAACCACATCAGAAAGCAAAAAGTAAGAGACAATAGGGTACTTCCCTCACATTTGTAGGTGGAAGAACAAAACTGTAGGTTCAAACAGCTTCCCAATATAGTAAAAGCAATCCATAAGATAAACATAGTACTTTGTGTAGTCCAGTGTAAACAGACAAAAATAATCAGAAAGCCATCAAGGTCCAGATTATTCGAGAAAGTCAGAAATACAGATTTTATGTGAGAACTTAAATTTTCTTTGATAGAAAGAAATTTATGCCAACTACAATTAAATATTTCCTTTAAATAAGCCATAAGTGAACAAAAATAATTGTATAATGTTTATACTCAGCAAAAGAGGTTTCCACCAAGTATTTTTTTTACCATTTTATCTAATGCGAAGTAAATCAGAAAATTATCTGCTCCACAACTCAGAGGTAGAAAAACATCTCAGAATTGTATGATTTTTCCTCCTTCGTATTTGATTTTATATAATTATTTAGATTAAGAGTTGACAGAAAGCCAAAATTGTCACAGAAAGAGTTGTGAAAGGAATATTTTATGACAAACTGAACTGTCAGAGTTGTAGCATCCTCTAAGAAAGATTTTTTTTACAGTAAGACTTCGTTCCCTCTAGCAAAGCCAGGGAGTTAAAATTAATTGTTTAATAATAACTGAAAGTACATGAAACTGTTCTACCATCCCTTTGCTCCAAATATTCCTCTATATATATATATTAAGTGAGCCCTAGAATGCACGCTTACAGAACATTTGTGTGTTTTATATGTTAATAAGTGTGTGTGGGGGGGCTTTTGCAAGACCTACATATTACATCTCCCACAGGAATCAGCTAATCCCTCAGTTAAATACAGTCTTCAGCATTCCCAGTGCCAGTCTGCTTGTTTCTTGGACAAGGGAAGAGGAATTTAAGAGGAAGAGGTGGCATGACACAAATAAAGTTCTTAGCATTGGCTTACTTTGTTACCTATGGTACATCTTTGAAGTCAGAAAGCTTATTAAAAATTACTCTGAAAGTAAACCAGTTTTTATACACAACAGAAGTATAAGACACATTTCATATTAATGATCTAGTAAACTAGTGAACTGTCCCTTAACTCTGTTTCCAAAATACAACTTTCAACTATATGCTCCTTAAATATGTGGAAGAGCAGTCTAGTTTATTAGAAAGTGTTACAAATATATGCAAATCAAAAAAAGCTTGGCAAAACATACCATTTTATTACAGTATACAGTGCTATTTCCATTTGAAAAGGGACAAACAGATTTCAAATGAAACTAACAGGAAAAAAAAATCTAAGATGTGAAGACCATAAACAAACATATTTAAGTTAAAAAACCAAAACATGCAATGTTGTGTATCTGAAGTTTTATTGAGGGGGAATGCAATTATAACCATGGCATATCATGAAATCAATTCATAACATTTAATTAAAAGTGGTTTCTTAAAAACATCTGCAATCATCTATAACAAATACAGTGAATATTTGAATCCTTGTATCTTAAATCAAAATATTCTTCTAGAAGCCTGTTATAGATGGTTACTAAAAACCCAACATCAAATTTTACAATAAAAAATTGCAGAAATACCTAAAAATGGGCACCTAAAATCAGTAGGCATCTCATGCAGCGGTATTTTAGAAAGTGATGAAGGAAAATAAATATTCCCATTTGGTCAAAAGGCATCCCCCAAAAAAACAGAGGGGTATTTCCTGATGGCTAATTATCACCTAAAACTCAAATGAATGCAGATGTTTATTGTTAGCACAAATCGTTTTTTAAAATATGCTCTCCAGTCACAAGTTTCAATTTAATTCATTGTTGTGCATACCTGAGGTGCTATGTTGTCTACATTCAGTTTTGCTGGAAGAGATACTAAGAGGAAATAAATCAACACAGTATATTTTAGGTGAACTGTTCGTTTTCTTTAAATCATTCTTCCTTTCCAAGGAACTTTGCACACCTACTGAAAAAGTTTGTAAGAGAACGCCATACATCTTTCATTTGTCTCTCATGTCTTCATTGCTTGGATCTGATCTGTTAATAAAAAGAAACAGCTAGTCTTAACACCAATAAAATGAATTCTTCCTATATTTTGCTTTTTGAAAATACAACCCAGTATGTCCAGCTTACAAAACTATAGATGTTTTGGTGTAGTTACAAGAATGGAGGACAATGCAGTTAGAGTTGTTTTCAACTTGCTGTCTCATCCACTTCTGAAATGCTTCCACAGCCTTGTTGTTTCCCCTGAATGTTGCTAATTAAACAGGAAGACTCTTCCACATAATTTAATTTTTATCTTTTCAGGCTTATAAGGTAACTTTGATGAGAATACGGCCTGGAAGTAAAGAAGTATGCATCTGAATTCCTTGTACACCTTTCAGCTTCCACATAACTACACGTGAACTAACTCCCCAACAGCAAGGGATTTAAAGTTTGCATAACTCCCATGAAAAACTTCTTTGCTGTCAGTAGCCACACTTCTCCATACTGCTGCCTGATTGCCACTTCTAAATTCACTTGAAACATTGCCTTAGTGTAAACCTACTGCATCCCCATCACAAAATGCAGAAATCAGCACAACTGCCCACACTAATAGGGAACGTGAGCTGGGTTCAGACTGTTATGAGACAGGTTAGTTTTACTATACTGAAGAATTATTGGTTGCAATACAAAATGGGGAAATATGCAAACCCAGGCTTCACTAGGGAAAAAAGGGAAAAGCTCCTGCCCCTGACTCCCCAAATCTGTGAACTACCTGTAATCAGTCTGCAAAAGGTAACTGAGGAAAGCATGGCTGACAAGGAGAACTGTGCATTTATTAACCAGATGTCATTTCCTCCGCTGAATTTTATGGCACCCACAGGCTGGTGATTTAGGGACCACTATAACTTAAGACCTGTTCAAAATTTTTCCCACCAGTGCTCTAGGAATAAGTAGAAGAACCATAGTAAAAATTCTCTTGAAATATCAAAGTCTTCATCCATTAAAACTATTTGCCAAACTGCACGTGCTTAGGCAACAATACAGTTTCAACCCAACCCCTCCTAAGCTTCTGAGGACACTGAGCCAGGGAGTTAAAGGAAATTCTTTTAGATAAAGCCTATCAGTGAAGAATTTCAGCTCAGAAAATTAAGAAGTTTAACAATCCACGAGAAGTGAATAGTTATGTGAGTGAGTGACAGCAGAAGCATCTGCTTACCGTATTTAAAAATCTACATATACAACTGAACCATGCCTGAAACTAGGAAGAAGTATGTGATTTGGAATCTGCTTCTATGATAGGATGGTGGAGGATGCATCGCTTTTCTTCTGTAGGGTAGTAAATCTCTTTTTAAAGATAAATTTTTGGCTAGTATCCCTTCCTCTGAAAACATGACCAAATGTTTTTGTATTCTATAACAACACAATAAAATAAATCATCTCTTTCTAATTAGCAGTAAGGATTCTAAGTAGAAGACAGTCTGGTATCCACAGATAAGTGGAGAGCTGTTAAACCGGGGACAATGCTGGATATGACTCCGCTTCATTTTGAAGGAAATGAGTTTAGTAGCACTGACTCTGGAGCATTGCTGACATCTGGCGGCTGCCAGAGCACAGAACAGGCCGGTACAGACAGACTGTCCGTCTTGCAGATTCAGATCATACTACACTACCTAATACACTCACTCACAATCTAAGCAACACAAATTAGGGAACTAAAATTAGAATGAGTCTACCAAAACAATACCACACTTCACTATTCTATACATTTAGCAGTATGCAGGAGGACAAGAGACCAGACATGCAACAGAAGGATACAAAGCTTCCATACCAAGTTTGTAATTAAAAACATGCATGAAATACATCATCTAAGCTGGATCTGATATTTTCTATGTAGTTACGAGTGTCTGTATATGCTGTGATCATTATAATGTAAGCTGTTCTTATTTTGGCTCTAGATTAAAGAGCTGAAGTTGAATAATCAAAACTAGTGTATTTGTCTGTGTACTTTGCTTATTTTTCTAGCCTGCTTATTCATGATTTCCTGATACTTAAGTTACGTAAAACTGGGACGAGACAGTAAGAATAAATCAAAGAACAAACTGAACTACCACAATAATAATTTGAAGTGCAGAAGCACGTGGTATTAGTATTGTTTACAGGAAAATATTACACTGTTTGCAAGAGTATGCATTAATATTTCACGGGACACACTTTTGTCAGAGAAACTGACATGATCTTTTGTGTATGTTAAGGAGGTAAATGAAAGGTAAATATGAGATAGAGCATCAGTACTTACTGTGTTATTTGGTCTGACAGCAGAAGTAGACAGAAAGAAAACAAAGGAAATAATAAAGAAAAAACCTTACAAAATGAAAAAGTTTAACAGACTGAAAATAGAGCGAGAATTATGTATGATATACCTTGGAGCCAATCCACACCCTCTTGTAATCCTTCTCCTTTTAGAGCGTCACTGGCACTGAAAAACAAATCAAATTACAAAAACATTGTAAAAAACAGTTTTAGTGGAGTCATCACCATACTTAAAATTTACAGAGTTGCAAAGTAGCATCAGGTACAGTTTACTTGAAGGCTGCTTCCCAAATGATACATTCTAGAGTACATTGCCCATACAGAAACACTGTTTCAAGACGTGAGCTATTTTAATTCCAGTTTCAAGGCAGAGGAGTTGCTCCTAGAACATGAGGGGTTCTAGAATAGCTCCCACACAAGGCAGCCACGTTGTTCTGCAGCACCTCCACTTAGGTAACTCCCTCTTCAGACAATGCTATAAAAGATATTTATACCTACAACAACAGCAATGAAGCAGCACCTTTCCTCCTCCCACACAGTTCCTATACACAGTGACGATGTTGGAGTATTGGAGGAAGAAAGTACAGTGCGTACACACTTCATTAGGAGTGTCTGTTAATATATATTAATATTAAGGCGCACCAAGAAAGTGTAAATCTACCCTTTGAATCACAGGGGTATAACTGTTCAAAGGCTTCTCATTCTGCAGCTTATGAAAACTAACACAGCAGTGAATCTGGACTGTTATTGTGGTTAGCTATAAAATTATCTTCCAAAGAGCTTGGGAATTCATCAGTGTAATTTCTGAGACAAAAAGCAGTGATCCAAAACCAATGCCCAGGTAATCAAGTTTAATATTGAAGGGTGTAAAATGAAAATTGTAGTTTTCAGCAGCATTTAGCTGCTGATTTCACTTTTATTTATAATACCTGAGTACTTTAATAAGACAAAAAATCTTAACTTCTATAAAACACTTCTGTTAAAATGTTTTTTCTTCATGAACACTGACACAAAATTCTATTTATATGAAAGCTTACATCCTTCAGAAAGAAAAGACACTAGCTCCTACAACTAAAAAAATCCCTCAAACTTTACATGGTACAAAGCATACAGCATCCCTCTGAATTCACATGAGAACAGTGTACTAAATGACCTTTCAACAGTAGTTTACTAAAGCATCTGTATAGAAAAAACAAATTCAAAAGGTTTTATTGTTGATATTCTGAAACCTGCAAGACAAACTAGCAGCAGCACTCTAGTAACAATTCTACTAAATTTCCCAGCAAAAAATAATAGCAGCTATTCTGATAAGAACACTGCTTTCTGATTTCACTGGAAGTCTTTCATTTCCTTACTTGGGTAACAGTTCCACTGTGAAAATTTTCAAGACATAGTCTACATAAATGCAATGTGCCTTTAAAACAAGTTTCATAGCAAGTATTGTAATACTATTGTTTCCACACGTGGCAGCACAACATTTTATCTGGTTGGTTTAATTTATGTTAAATAACGCTGATTGGCATGAGAACGCTAAAATATCAATGTACAAAGTAATACCAATTAAGGGTAGACAAGGCAATTTACCAGATATGCCAGGGCTTGTCTTTGATGTTTTCTAATGACAGTAACTGAGATACTTTCACAGATGATATTGCATCCCTGAGGTCCATCTTGTTAGCAAAGAAGAGAATAGGCAGTCGACGGTGCTTAATATCTAGGCATGAGCAGAAAGAGAACTATCATGACATTATGCAACACTTGTTAACCTCTACAAGTAGTAAGCTACAAACAATACAAGAAGATATTTTGCTCACCTGTAACTGCAATTTTCTGAAGGTTGTATCCTACCAAGATGCACACTGTTGGGTCACATGGCCTCTGATGCACGCCTCAAGAACACTCACAAACTTTCAGGTAGGTTTTGGGATTTCCTTCCTCCCCCCCCCCCTACATTTAAAGCTGTAGGTATAAATTGCTGGTGAAGCTAAAGAAAAGGAGATCAAAGAACTGCCTAAAAATGCTGCATGTCTCTGCTTAGTGGGGACTGGATGTGTAAAACGGACAGAAAAATTATTTGTGTTCATTCATAACCTCACAACAATAGTTGCATAAGGGTAGTCTGAATTATCCTTCAGCATCCTGGAGAACATCCATTACTTCATAAAATTTATACAATAGGAAAAAAATGCACAGGTCTGGACATCCCTTATCCTACCTTCACTTGAACAGGGACTTCTTTTCCAGAAGCTCTTCTCAGCTAGCAGTGAGAACTACAGACCAAACCAAGTACACTGGCAATTTCTGGCATATCTACACATGCAAAAGCATAAGCCTTGCTGATTACCACAAAAGACTAAAGAGACATTGGAAAGAAACAAAGTATACCCTCTTCAACCTGACAGATGTAAAACTGCCAAAAAATTACCCGCACCAAGACTAACTGTGAGATTTTTTTTCTACATTATTTAAACAAAAGATGAATTACAAGATTAGACAAAAATCTAGATTTGGCTCTATCAATCAATTCTTGATGGGAAAATAACTTAACACCCCAGCCACCCCCAGTAAAAATTGCTATACAAGCTCTTTTTAAAATAGCAAAGGATATTTCACACAGGAAACAAGCTAAGGATTTATTTAAAAACTTCAAGCGTAAGACAGCTGCCCCTGCTGGGAGGGGACAAAACAAAAAAAACAACCCCAACAAACTATCAATGCTGAAGTGGTTTGAACCTTCCTAAATATGACCTTTTCAAACGCCTACCAAACCTTTCCACAAAATTAGTGGAGATAACACTATCTACCCATACTCAGAGACCATGAGCTCTGACCAAAACACTGACAATTTTAACAACTATTTACTGTATCTGGAGCCATTTTTTTCCTCTGATATCCTCTAACACAAATCAAAGGCCTCAAAATACAAGCACAGAGTATCACTAAATCTCTGTTTTGATTCCATAGTTGAACAGCTTTTGTGTCCTGATTGAAACGTCTACATTCATCTATAGTATAATTAAATGAACCCTCAAACCCACAGGTTGCAGGTTATAGATAAATTAAAATCACAAATTAGTTAACATCACATATGCAAATAGCCAACTTAATCAAGGAAATTTCAGTGGTTTTTTAAAAGCAATTAAAAAGGGGCACAACCTACCCACATAGGTTCATAAATGTACACTTAAAGATGTTTGCTAAATAAAGTGGTACTTGCAGAAATTGACCTTTCCTACCTTATGACATCATTTCTTATTAAGCAGTATTAAGCCCTCACACTTTTTACACTTACTAATGGAAAGCTAACATTTTCTAGTTACAAGTAGTTATGAGTTAATACATTAAAAAAACCCCAGACACTAGATATGTGCGATGTGTAATTTTATGCACAGAATTTCAAATTTACAGAAATTTCAGTTTATTTTAGAAGCATGTGCTGGAGGTCAAGTGACCCAAAAGTCAATATCTAAAACAAGTAAACTACAGACTACCATCTTGTAAAATGCTGAAGAAGGAAGTTTGATTAAAAAAATAATATGGTAACAGTGATCATTAAAGAAGCTATTATTTGTAGAGTGCATTGTCCGCTTATGTAAGTAAAAATAATTTATAGTTCTGATTCACAAAATAGTCCCAGTTAGTACAACTTCTCACCCCGTTAATGCTTCACAGTACACATTCCCTTTCACCTGACAACCTTAGGCAGTCTGGCAAAAAGAGAGGGAACTGTTTTACTGAAGGATTGCTAAGATTTTCAGAGACAGGAATTGATTCAAGGTTGTTAGCCTGCATACATTTAAACCTTAAGTAAACATGTAAATTTAAACCACTCCAGGAGGTTCAGAGGCAGAAGCATAGATGGGGAGAAAGTAGGGTACACAGGAAGAAAAGCAGAACAGTAATACAAATAAAAATATTGATAGAATAGAACAGTTATATATTCATTCAGTTAACAGCTACTTTTATCAAAAATTACCACCAGAAGAACGTTTTATTCTCTTTCGTTCTCTTAGATATGATCTACCAAAATCCAAAACGATAAAATAGAAACACTGTTGCTGCATTTGAGCTGAGCTGCTCCAAGGCAGAACTACAAAACTGCCCTTTCTGGGTTCTAGGGAAAGTAAAGTACTAGGTGTCCATAGAGATGGTCTTTCAGAACTAGAAGGCACAAACACATCAACAACTGAACAGCACTGACCTGCTAGGTCAGCATTAATAGCCTATTAATGCCTAAATGAAAAACCCCACCTAAGCTTGCATCTTCTCAGTCTTAACATTTTTCACTCTCCTGCCTTGTAATAAACCAGTAACTTATTAACACAGTCTTTACCTCCCACCCTCGGTCCTATGTAATTTCCATTTTATGAACAGAATTGCCTTCTATCACCGTGGTTAATACCTGCTTTGGTACATTATCCACCTGCAGCCTTTGGTTCACCTCATCCTCCCCTTTGACCTCTGCAAGACTGTCTTTCCAGTGTTGGCATTTGAAGCAACCCATACCCTTGAACATGAAATTATAGAGGGCCCACTCAGCTCCCACACACTCAGCTACAGCACCTCTGTTGATGAACTAAGGTATTATATGCAGTCTTCATGGAAAATAAAATCACAGTAACATAATTGCCCCTATCACATACTACTTTTCTTGGTTAGAAATGCAAGCCAGCTGCTTCTTTCTTACTTTCAGTATGGCAACCCCACAAGTTAAGGCTCTAACAGCTTAATAAATAAATAAATAAGAAATTACAGGATTATTTCACTTTTATATTTCTTGCATGTAGTTTTATAAACTGGTCAGTCAGTGTGACTACGTAAAGTGCTGAAAGTCAAAATTGCATATTGCTTACAGAAACATTCCACTAACATTGGCTATATGGAAGGGTGAAGCAGTGAAGAATTAACCAATCTCAGAACTTAATTAAAAAAGTGTAGTCTCGTGTAAAAAAAAAAAAAACCAAAACAAACAAACCAACCCCCTAAAGCCAACCTCCCCAATCATGAATCCTCTCATATCCTTTTCCATCCCATGTATCCTTTTATAGGCAAATGAAACTGACTGGTATAATTATCCATCCTTATTTCTGGCTAAAGCATAGTTAAAAAAGAAAAAAGATAATGACGATGAAAAACGTAATTAGATGTTACATTAAAGAAATTAGCTGTCTTCATGGAAAAATCCAGACAGGGAGATACTCTTTTGTATGTGTTTATCATCACATACAGGCTCTCCAGCTTCCAAAGTGTCAAAGTCTATTCTTCTCAAAACAATGCAACTTTTGATCTATATTGATTAATAACAGATCAATCCAACTCAGTGTAGCCAACTGAAGCATGATCAATTTGTAAATCTAAATAGGTATAAAAAAAACCCCAAACTTGAAGACTATTACTGTTCTAGTATTCATGAACGGCTAAAATATTTGTGAAGTACTCAGAACGCAGAATGTGTCAGATAAGGGCTTTTCTTAAGACAATGTAACACATATGGAGACAGAAGGGGAAAAAAGCCTCCTCACCTGGATGATTCAGAAGGGTGTCAAGTTCTTCTTTGGCCACAACCATTCTTAATTTGTCACTGCTATCAATGACAAAAATAATGGCTTGGCCTTCTCTGCATAACATAAAAAGAGCAAAGAGGCAAATTATAGGTTCTCTTAAACTGTAAGAAAAGGCTTCAGAAGAAATACCAAAAAGAAGCAAACAAACCTGATTTTTTTTTTTCCCCTCTCATTTTTGTTGTTGTTATCTACCACTAAGATTTGAATCTAGTCCCATTTCTGAAATTCAACCTTTTGGTAACCTGCATAAATTTTTTGAGACATGAGGTTGTTAGCTGCGTGACTCATACGAGGTTTAGTCTACACAGACCCTTCAGAAAAGCTTGATTTCAGTAATGAGGCTAAAAAATGAACTCTGAAAATGTAACCAGCTGCTATTCTGACAGCATGGTCAGAAAAACAAAGAAAATCAAGACAGGTTTTTGTAGAAATTCTTTATTTCCTACACTAAAATAAGTTTATTTAGAGGAAGAACAATCACCTTTTTAGAAAAAAACTGTGTGCCCACAGCTCTTTAACAACTAAGCATATGCAGATTAATTTAACTTTTACAAAGTCTGCATAAACAGGATCTTTCTTTTGTTTTGAATAACAGGTAAAAACTTTCAACTATTTCAAGTCATTAAGACATTTTGCTGGTGATATGACCACAGTCACAACATATATATATGCTAATCAACTCATTATTTCAGGATATTACTGATATTTTATGACTTGACTTTCCATTCACTGAAATTTATTTGAAAGCAAAATAAAGTCTGACCAATTCAGATGAACAGTTAAAACACCCACAAAAAGTATTTTTAATTTATATTTTAATATAACATTCACTTCTCCCTTTTACATTTCTCTGAGACACCGTTACGGATTCTTCATGCCCCAGCACCATCTACCTTTGTATTTTGATAAGAAACAGTCCTAGACCTACTGAAAAAGAGAAATAACTTGACCAGCCTAAGATTGTATGAGAAAGTTCATTCTTTTCTGGAGTACAGAAGAACTTAAACAGAAAATAACTCTTTTGCTTATTAGCTCAGAATGCCTAAGTAATTTTTATGAGCGTACAGTATTTTTCTAGAGGAATCAGAGTGCTAGCATGTATTTACTACCAAAAATAACTTCACAAACAAGTAACAGTAATAAGGACACAACATGAGTTTACATATATTTAAGACAAGTTTACTCTGAGGACATCCTAGAAGATAGTTTCAAGACAAATAGAAGAAAAGGGCAAGCTTCAAGTACTCCAAAATAACTACTTAGACACAGATACTCGATCAGATTTGATTGCCATTTTGCAATAAATCTTGCTTAACTTTATAAACTGAACAGCACATTATTATTTTTATATTATTCTCAGAAGTTAATTTTAAATATGTGACTACTGCGCTGGATCAGGAACAGAAGTGGACACAAGTGCACAGTTCACTGTGAGCCAACAAACTACCTTAATGTTTAGATGGAAAAAGCAGTTTATGCCACACAAGGGATGAGTTACTGCATTAAATAAGGCAGTCAGAAAAATTATTTGCTTATGAAACACTTGGCTAACATTTTAAGAGCAGCCTAAGGGCATTAGTTATTGAAATGCAAAAGTTTTGGGAAACATATATCTAACACCCTTGAACAATGAAGATCTACCCACACAACAAGTTTTCAAATTGCTGACACATTTTGGACAGAAAGGAGATGAAGTGTTAATCCTCAATTAAATAATACTTTAAGGTCTATTACATTAAATATTGGAATTTAATCAATATAATAACCAGAATTTCTCAGTTCTGTTTCTCCAAGCTATTTATATGTGGTTTACTACTGTTCACCTTACTTAGATCAGCATCAGGTATGACAGAATAACAATAAGACAACATAAACGAAGATTGAAGTTTCATTAGAAGCTAGAAAACCAAAAAATGGTGTCTATTACCAATAAGGCAATATCATAGTGTTATAAAGTACAGCGAATATCCTGCTTAATAAATAACATCTGAGAATACTTGGTCAAGTTCTTAGTTACATATGCCTCATTCTCTGAGGTTGATTTCCCTCACCTCTAAAAATCTCAGCAATCAGCCAATATCTTTTGGGTCTTAAGTCACTTACCTACAGAAGAATAGAAAAATAGGAATCCTAACTCATCTTGGTCCTTTCTTACAGGATTGTTTTGTCTAGTTTCAACATTTAAATCCCATCTTTAGTATGCTCCCCCAATCTTTGAGGCAATGAGATGACCCCAAAAGCATACTGACTAACAGCATATAAAAATTTTCATTTATTTAGAACAGAAAGAAAACTGGTATTTATCCAGAATGACCTTCTGTCAAATACCAGTTGTAAGCCTTCTCTGAATCATTTCTAACCACTAGATATTATCACACTTCTGCTTAAATAACATACACGATAGCTAATATGAACAGCAATGCTTTAAAATAAATGACAGGCTTACTTGTAGTAATGTTCCCAGAGGTTTCTGTATCTGCCTTGACCTGACATATCAAACACTGTGAAAGACAAACTGCAAAGAAAAGAAGTGTATGAGGCACTGAAACAACGAACAAAACCGAAACCTAAACTATTTTCTTTGCTACCCTGACAGAAGAAAAGCCAGATCAATTTGAATCTTCATCAACTAAGAAAGATTCCCAAAAGAACTCTGGTTGCTCTATCTGCCTTCAAACTATCCTACCTGTTTTTGCGATCCTATTATAGAAATATTTCACAATGGAAAATGTGGTGTTTTTTTTTTCTCTGAATAAAAGAACGAAACCAATTATAAAAAGTTACATCAAATACAAAATAAGCTCCCATTCAGCCTCTCTTTTTATCATGTTAGTATCAAATATTTTTTATAATGTTGAGTAAATGAAATTCAGGTGAACCATGACTTAAAATTCATAGCCTTTCTTAAATCCTGTCCCTAGACAGGTACCAGTATCATCCAAAGGCTTCTGCATGCAAAATAAAAGGCTTGTTAAAAAAAAATAAAAATTCCACCTTCAGGAAAAAAAAAAAAATCACATTCTGGTAATAACAGGTTAGTTCAGGTGATTAAATTACAAAGGGTAGTCTTAGCAACTTTGAGATTTCACCCAAACACTAAATACAGCACGTAAATGTAAAGAACATTACAAAAAATTCTGATCCACTCCTGAAATATCTACAGAGGCAACACTGAATTCAATATTAGGCTTTTGTGTTTTGAATAGTCCCAAATAGCTCCCCCAGGTAGAGGCCACACCAAAATGAGCAGGTTTAGAAAAGGAAGCTGTCCAAGCACCCTTTCCGCTCTATATCCAGACATCATCTGATTCTGGACTAGGTATGCCTTGCCACGTATAAAGTTATTAGCAACCCAAAACAATGTTTTGATTGAAATATTAGATTAATGAAGTTTTGGGGTGGGGGTGAGTTGTGAGTTTGTTTGGAGTTTGGTTTTTTTTTTTTTTTTTAATCATTCTACATGGTGTAGTTGCAGGTCATCTCTCCTACTACAGGATCAGAATAAGGAAAGCAATAAAAATCGATTTACATTCTCACACAGCCAAACCCCAAACCTGTCTTATATACTTTACTGAGACAGAATATGGCTGTTGAGCTTCCTGTAAAAATATGAAACCTATCAATCCCACACATCAGCTCAAGGAATAAACAACTATCTTGCAGATCTCTAGTCCACTGAGCCATGCTACTTGGTTTGAAGACTGATGGCACCCAATAAAAATAGTGAGTGTGAATGTTGCAGAATAGAGTGTGAATAGAAGATAGTGTGAATAGAAAAGAGTGTGAATGTTGCAGAATAACTTCCCAGGGAAGTTTGGAGGCCCCACCCCTGGAAGCTTTCAAGGCCAGGTTGGATGGGGCTTTGAGCAACCTGGTCTAATGGGAGGTGTCCCTGCCCATGGCAGGGGGGTTAGAACTAGATGATCTTCAAGGTCCCTTCCAACCTAAACCATTCTATGAGTCTAACCAAAATAATATCTAATGTCACCTGCTTGAAGTATCTTTGTCTCACAACATTCCTTCTCTAAATCTTAGCCCTCATTTAACCAGTGATTTCTTCCTCCTTTTCCTCACCTTTGCCTGTGCCATCTTTACATTGCTAATGCTGTAGCGACCATTTTTCATTTAATGAGATTAGACTGCAATCTCTGCAGAGTCCCTCCAGTGAGAGTGCTTAATGAAATATAGGTTACCATCTAAGCAGCTGTCTCAAGTCTGTAACAGTGTCCTATTGTGAAATTCTTAACAGACAGAAATCAGATGCTTATACACTTTTTTGTTTGTTTTTAAACACACACACAGTTTTATAGCAGCACAAAACATATACTATATTCTAACACTGTCAGTCTTGGTTGATGATTAGGACTCCACAACACATTTCAGTCAGTTACATAAAAAAAAACCTGCTGAAAAAGATAATTAAGTCTAACTATTGCATATTAATTACTAATGCTAAATGGCGAAAATGAAAGAAACTACTACCTCGATGTCTTGAATTTCTCTATACTGAATCCTATTGTTGGAACGATGTCCTGAGTTTGAGCCTTTAAAGGAAAGAAAGAACAAATTTTAAAACCAAGTTACCGAAGGTAAATAAATATAATTGAAACATGAATACATTACAGAACTATTTTTCCCCAAACTGTGCAATATAAAAACTTTCTACAAATCAAGATACTTTATATTAAAAAAGTTCCCAGAAAAGTACAGTAATTCAAAAATCAACGTTTTGTATTTTCTAGGAAATACAGTGTACGCTATTGGACAAGAGCATTGAAGTTGAAGACATTTTAGCCTTAAGAGTGAGATTTCACCCCTTACATTAGTCTGTGTGTACATGTATGTCTGAATATTACCTATGAAATAAATAGGAGATAGGTTAACATGGCAGATAACAGCTTCTGAGATCAAAGTTCACAATATTTGTGCACTATGGAAATCACAATGTAAACCCAAACAAATTTGCACAATACCCCAAGCCTCTTAGATAAAAGAGGATATGCTTCCATCAAGATATTAGATTGGCCATACTCCCAACTTCTGTCAACAGTCTGGAGGAGTCTACTTGACATTGGGAATTACACAGCAGACATTACACAATGGCCTAACCATAGTTCTATTCAAACTACCAGACCACTGGAAGAAATCACCATTTACCACAGAGGAATGGCCAAAACATAAAGCATTATTAACAGATCTGTCTGATAACCAGGTTTACGGCTGAGCTAGCCAAGCAATCTATCAGCTAAGTTGGTACAACAGAATAGTTCCTTTAAGAAGCATCAATATTGAGCAGGGAGAAAGGTCACATCCCTTAAGATTACAGAGCTGTCTGAGAAAGTGACATGCAATCCTTTTACAGACTTTCTAGAGCCCCTTATTAAAAACACTATCTATAAGCAGTTGATTCCTCACAGACAACTGAAGCAAGCTTAGCTTGTTCACCTGCAGCTTCATTATGAAATGGCATTCCACCATCATAAACAGTTTAGTCAACAGTTCCTGTCAACAAGGGAAAATTTGTGCAGAGTAGTAGAGGTGTTATTTCTTTAACATTTATTTCAAATGGACGTATCAGACTCAGAAGAAACAACTGCAAACAGATAGAGAAACATCTGTATTTGCCATACAACTAATATATTGCTCATAGGGCAAAGTAGCAGTTCTTCTTAAGAAGGCTGGGTTGATCCAGAGATCAAAATCATTTGTCCATTGAACTTACTAAAAATAAACAATTTCATGAAGTTTGATCTAATGACATTTGTTACACATTAGAGAATTTGTCATATCTTGCAAGGACAGGACTTACACAAGTTGTATGCAAAGCTACCCTCCTCACATTAAATTAAAACCTTCAGAAGTAAATTCTCATTACACAATTTACAGTAAAGCAAACAAATTCTATTTATTCTACTTGTGTAATTCCCTTGGGACCTTCTCTAATACCTATTATTGTGATAAATCTTAAAGTCTGTGTTCAACTCTAGTTAGGAATGCTTTATTGCTTAAGGCATGACATAAAAACCATGCTACAATGAAGGTCTCAAAAATTGTATAAGTATATAATTTGCCTGGTACAAATACATCATTTCCCCCAAACAATTGGCAGCAGATAGGAAGCAGTTTATAGTCTTTGTTTATAAATCTGTTTAATTTTCAGTGGAAGAATAATTGCTAGGAATGCTAGAAAGACTAGCTGACTCTTTACCATGTTACATTTTTTAAACAGCGCCCAGTGGTACTCTTCAGGAAAAGTTAATGGAAGTTGAAAACCAAAAGCTGTGTCCTGATGTAAACAGCAGAAATCACAGTTTCCCAGATGCATATAGCCAAGATGCACAAGCCTCTGGCTTTGAACATGCCTACCAAAATCCACTTATTTCTATTCTATAAACACACCTAGGACCAAGGTAATCCTACTTTAAATTTTGCTTAGAATACTAGGCACTCTTAGTGGCCTGAAAACCACTTTTCACTGCATAAATGAACTGCAAGTATAAATGCTACTTATTTTGAAAGCTATTCTGCTTTAAAAATGCTGAAGTCACCATTAAATGTGCATTTTCTCACTATTTCCTGTTTTATTATATACTTATTATTTCTCAGGAAGAGATTAAAATAAACGTGATAAATGTAGATGAGTACAAGTTGTATAACAACTGTATTAATCCCTAATATTCAACACACCACTCGTAATTGCAATCCTGTAGCAATTATTTAAGTGACTTAAGAAAACTGTTTCAGATCCTGATTTCAGCCATCATAAACCCTTCCTTACTAGGTGATCTTACAAAAAACGTGCCACATTAACAGTGGTCTTTTGGTAAGTGTTTTCATAATATGCACGAGGATGCTTACATTTAGTTTTATTTAGCTGGAAATTCTTAAAATATTTGTTCCACTGTACGAAATAAAAAAAACTCTTCACATCTTTGCCATGGTCACATTTAGTATAACAGCATGCAAAAACAGTTTAAACAAACATCAATTCTGCAGTAAAAACATCAACAGTGAACTAAGTAAGCTACTTACATTTGAAGGTTTAAGTTTATTTATGATTGTTGTTTTGCCGCTATTGTCCAATCCAAGGCACAAAACGTGAACCTCCTTTTTCTTCAGCCCAAGCCATCCTGCTAGCTTGTCAAACAATCCCATAATTCTGGCTCAAATACACTGGGATCACCTGTTGTTCAGAAAATTGGGGAAGGAAATAGCTGTTGGAAAACCGTTACATGTACAGCAGTGCTAGCACAGTAGGTGGGCATGTGGCTAAGCAGTCCTTAAACTTTTAAAAGCACAGTGTGAATAAGACACTATACAAACACTGTCACAGCGGGTTTGCTTGGTATACTAAGCAAATGGAGTGTAAGCTGATTATAGCGAAGAAGCCTTGATAGAAAAGTAGATTGGCCGTTTATAGCCCTGTCTATATAATGCAATGTCCTTGATTCACTGGGTAGCAATATTGCTGTCATTCTGAGGAGTCCAAATAGAAGCACAACTGCAATGCCTCCTTACCTTCCACCAAACTGAAAAAAAAGGAAGACCATTACCTCTCACTTCAAATTGTCAGTAGCCCGGTCAGTTATCATAACGTAGAAAACAAAGCAAAATAATGTTGCCCTTCTTCAGCACATGGTAGGTAATTTACTGAACCCTGAAGTACATAAAGTACCCTCTGTCAATTCAATTCAAACTCTAATTGTAACAGGCTTTGCTGATATTAACATGTATAAATTAGGAACTCATTCACTACAAATAGAAACTGATTATAATAGATCCAACAGACATGAAGCCAGACACCGTAACATTCACCCACACCTCAGGTAGATGCCAAACTCCTACTCCTGCCCAGACACTGACTGAAGTTACCTGGCAGTAGCATTTGAAGGAGCTTACATCATGCATTCCCCTTTTTTACCTGGCTGAACATGTTTTGCGAAGAGTAACTCTCTTCTATCCCGAATGAATTCCACTAAGAATAATTTCAGCAATCAGACATCTGAAAAATTTATGACCTATTCAATAATAAAGTATTTAATTAATGCCAGAGGAATTTTATGGAGTGGTGAAGGTTGTTTTTAATCTTAATAAAAAAAAAGCCAGACACCACTGGACAACTCAGATTGCGATCTGAATTACCCCAGAAAATCACAGCAGGAGGAGGAAGAGGAACAAACATCAGTGACAAGTATTTGGCCTCACTTCTTCGCTAACTGATTACAAAACAACGATTAACTGCATTTTAATAGAAATTTTTTAAACTTGGCATTTATAAAGTCACGTAAGCCATCACCTTTGCTTACAGTATGATTTTATCTTTTTTTAATACAGATCCTTTTTAAAGCTTTGTCTAGTGCACTTTGACTCAAGAGTAGTAGCGATCTACAGAACGGCTATGTGTGTAACAGCTACACACAGTTGTAACCAGATTAAACAAACCCAACTTTAGTTAAAGTAATTCCCTCAAAGAAAAAAGGTCATGGTTTTTCTTCTAAATCCCTGTTTTATGCCCCACTCCTTTTTTAACACACATACAACTCTGCGAGCAGATTAAAGCTTACTGTTTATTATCAAATTAACCTGAAAAAACCCTGCTTCAAAACACATTACTTTCTAGTCCGGTCGAGAGCCCTACCTATACATTCTGGCTGATAGGGTCCAAAAAAATACCTTGCTGGTACACTTAAAAATGAAAAGGAGAAAATGAAAGCACTTAAGAGGTACTTCCGGGGCTTCACTTTTAAACCCCAAACTCTAAATACACATTCTTGGACAACAGCTCCTAGCAACATTTTAATTATAGCCATTTTTTCTAGGAGTTTTTCCATAACATTTGGCAAAGCCATTATTTAAGAATACAACCAGGAAAAGTGTGTCCTTGACTTTTTGCCCTGCCCCTTTTCTCCCATTCTTTTCCTCAGCTGTGAAGACTTACAGCAGTTACAGCTGGCACAGGTCCCTTCTCTTGCCAGCTGATATTTAGCATACGATGCTATATAGCATACTTTAGACATGTCCTAAAATCATTTAAGACAAAGTTTGGTCCAAGAGCTTGTTATCAAACGCCATAAACCTTTATCAAGGACTGTAAGCCTGTCTGAGGCATCAGTGATTAACATTTGTTGTGACTAACCAGGCTGCAAAACTCCTGAAGATAAACCAGTCATGTAAGGCATTTCGAGCAGCAGTGGTTTGCTGCCAGGAGGCAGAGCCAGGTGAGCCGCACAGCTCTGCGGATGCTCCCCAGAGAGGGGCCTGGCCAGGGACAGCCACCTCTCTCCGGTGGCTGCTAAGCGAGACACTGCAACCCGCTACTCCAAATTATCAGCAAGCTAAACCGGCAGCGACAATCCATAGAATGATAGGCGCATCGTAGGTTTGAGTTTTTGGGAAGGCGGCCAGGGTGGACAGCCTGCGGAGATCCCTTCCAAACTAAACGCCACTAAGAGTCCAATTAATTCACGTGGATTACTTAAACGTAAACACCGAGATACCAAGGCTGCCTAAGCCGCCCACAGGAGGCCCTTTCAGATTAATATAATTTAAAACTCCAGCTATAATTTATTTTTTTGTTGTTTTTCGTTTTTTTTTTTTTTTTTTTTTTTTTAAGGAAGGATGGTGTGGTGTGGTTTCTCACGTGCAGGTGTTCTTTAGCTGTTGTCCAATAGGTCTGTGTTTTGGAAAGCTGAATAAAGCTGTGTTCTGGCCCTGGTTCACAGTTCACAGATTATTATTGTGATGCTTCTGGCCACAGAATTTATGAATCTATAATGAGAAAGCTAAAATCAATTAGATAGGAGCACAAGAAAGAAGTGGTTGAAAACTATTTTGGGGAATGTTTATAAACATAATGAACTCAACTGTAATCTCTGAGAGACGGAGATGTTAAGTGCCTGAAGCACGAGTTCTGTGGTAGATCCCAGCATGCCCCGAACTCACTGAAACACGTCTGTTCTGTACTGTGAATGGGCCTACAACATTTGGTCACAGGGATGAGGTATTACCTACAGATTTGTGCAGGGCCTGTGCTCCTAACTGTACTGATGACTTAATTCTACAAGACCATGTCTTTGCATCTTTCATTTCTGGAATGAATCTTTGCTTCAGGACGAGCCAAAGTGTTGTGTTTCTTCTTTTTCTCCCCAAACAAATTAGTCTAGAGGAAGGTGGACTGGCTTTGAAAAGGAAGAAATGGGAACCTCATCGTCTCCGGCGGCTTTGCGTGTTGCCGCTTCAGCTGTGCCCGGGCGCCTGTCACGGACACCGGGCGGGCGCCGGATGCTGATCGCACGCACAGACCGCATCCTTCTCATCCTTGGTGTCCAGCGCCGGTGTAATTTTTTTTCCCGACCCCTGCTGTTCTGCCTTTCTAGCACAGCTGCAAGAGGAGCTCTGAGTTAGAGAAGTCCTCTGTAAGAAGAAAAGCCTAATAAGAAACTACACCGAAGGTGTTCGCAGCAACTCCCGTTCCTAAGCAGGCAGCTTGGTGGAGTACAACGTTCAGGGAAAACCTTAAACCCTCCTGACATGTAGGTAATTACAGCAACTGGGGTTTGGGAAGAAGGCAGCTTGGTTAGCATATAGAAATACACATTGGTATTTTTTTGCCACGTAGCATAGCCCAGTCAGACTGGTTCTAGGTCTGCTGCGCAAACTTAAAATTACTTAAATCACTTAAAACGAGCTCCAGAGAGGAGCTTAACTGGAACAGTAGCATGAGTTTTCCTCACTGTCACCTCCGTGGAGGTACTCATAGGCTGTAGGAGACGGTTGGTATGGCGATCCCTGTGTTCGGCCCGACACCCTACACTGCAGACCCTAAGGAGACCCTCCGTGGTCAAGCGGAAGTTGAGGCAGGGAAGCGCTCAGCATGCAGTGCCATACTCATCCCTCACGGACCGGCAGCGCAAGCCAGCCAGCTGGAGCAACTCAGTCCCTTACGCTCCCCTCACTACAATCCGCTATTTCTGTAATCCCAGATCTTAAGCATAGTTTTCGGTTTGCTCTTCACTTCTAAACAGAAGGTAAGAAATGACTGAGGAGGACTGAGGAGTGGAGCGCGTCCCCCACCCTCTGCTTCCCAAAAGGAGGTCTGTAGTGCTCCTTGGCTGAAAGAAGCAATTTTCCTTCACAGAGCTACACCCCTCGTTATGAAAAACCCTAATCTAGTTTCACCTATACTGAACACTGCTTTCAGTCTACTGTCTCACCTGCTGCCCTGGAGAGAGGAGTGAGAGCAGTAGAAATAACTGATAGTGATGTGGACAGTTCTTTTTGCTAAAAATCCCAAGTCCAAAAAATCCAAGTCCATAAAATCCCAGTTATAATGCGCTTCACATTAAACTTCAAAGATTAAAAATACGACAAACATTTTGTCTGTTGTTTGGCTTTTCTAATTCTCATCGTTGCTTTTATTGTTATTAAAGGTTTGAGGTAAATTACAATCTGGATTTCATGATTTCCCTATACCCAGAAAGGTTCTAACTAAAAGATGAGATGACTTTATGAGCCATTAAAGAAAACTCAAGTGGCATAAATCTCACAGTGAAATTCTGGGTTGAAGCGCTTTCTAAAAGCTAATGAGGTTGTGGGGTAAATATGTGTTAGAAGAGAGTGTCAACTCCTACTTTTTATACTAAATCGGTCTGTATCTAAGAACTAGTTCTAAACTGAGTGAAGAACAAAGAATGGCAAAGGCATTTCTGTAAACAGATCTAGAATGAAATATTAATTCTTCGTTACAGACACCATGTTAAACCTGACAGTCGTTAGTGAGAAAGCTCTTCCCAAGCAAAATATAAAGGATGTAATGGCCTGTGGACATCTGACATTCATTTCCTATTAATCTACACAAGCTTCTGTTCAGTGTTGCATTGCATGCATATGATGTTACAAAATGAATGGCTAATTATAATTTTAAACTTTTTGAGGTAGGGTTTGATTATTGTATGTGGCATTCACTTCTTTGTGAATCACTGTGTGTTGCCCTGGCATTATTTACATAATACCAGTTTTAAAACTGCATTTGTCAGTGAGAGTTTTGTAAAACACTAGGGAAGGACTTGCATGAAAGGAGTTGCAGGGCTCAGTGAACCACTATAAGGAAGGCAAACAGTACTGAAGAATCTTAATAGCACATTAAAATCTATTTA